AAGGAAGAGGATGTTTTTCCTTGAGCACACAGTGTTTCTTTCAATGTTCTGCCTTCTAAATAATGATACAGTCAATATTTGAGGGAGAATAAACAGCCTATATTATATTTCTCTCTGCATATATGAGTTTTACGCCTCTTCATGTAACATGAGCATAACAGATCTTTGTATTTCATTATATTTTTTTTGTATCTATGTTGATGACAAAACAGATCATCTCATGAGAAAAATTTTCAAATTGAAATCTTTGGCATCTTGGAAAATTGTGTGACATTGTTGAGATCTCTTATAAGACTAAAGATGCTAAACACTCTCTTTGCTCTGCATTTAATCCTATTGTGGTCTCAAAAAAAAGAAAAAAGAAATGTCAAACTGTGATGTGCTTGCACCACCTGAAAAGAAAGCACATATAATCTGTTAAACTAGTGTTTGATTGACAGCTCTAAATCCCGCCTCACATTCAGCCCCTCCCAACAGCATCAGCTGCTCTGCAGCCTAAAGTCTTTGACCATAAAAGGAAAAGCAGACTGCATATGGTTTGAGGCGACAGATTCTAGTAGTTTTCTTCATGACTTATTGAAGTATTTATTTCATTAGAAGTTGTATGTATTTCAGCTCATTAGAGTTCATTATGGACTGGATTAAGTCAGTCTAGGTCATATAATATCACTATAATGCACTTATACACTGTAAAAAAATTAAATAAAAGCTACTACATATTTTTCAGTTTACAGGACTTTTGAGTAACACAAAGACACACGTAGACTATATGTATAAATTTGTACTTGCCATGATGAATTACAGGCCGAATCAGGTATTTTGCATTTAGTGAATGTACAAATTCAAACTGGCAAAACAAAGTAGTGTTACTTACAATTACGAAGACAGTAGTTGAAAGATCTTTCAGAAAAATCTGCATTATGTTGCCTTGATGTTTTTAACTTTTCAACCATATCTATTTAACATTGCATTAAAATGGAGGTTCAAGGCATTTCAAAGGGTTTAGCAGAAATACAGGTTGCAATTTATGTTTAGAGTCTATATGTTCATAAATATTAATATTTTAACATTTATTCCAGTGTATTGTCCATAGACTGGTGCACAGCAGTGCATGACTGTAAATGCCACCTTTTTTTTTTTTTACAGGTATTGAGATCTGAGGGATATATTTGTATTTGCATCTGTGCCATATGATAATGATCATCTGCTAAAAAGTGGGGGATTTTCTAAAGTTATGAAGGCTGCCACATCCTTAGGTTATGCTAAACTTATGGGGCCAGACTCAACATTGTTCTGCGTCTCAGTGGAAGAGATACTGTCTGAGAGAAGACAGTGGGTCATTTTGGGGGTCAGAAGTCATGGACTGGGTCTAGCTGAAGGTTTCATTACGCCTTGAATAAAGTAATAATGAATGACAAAACTTTACCTGCACTGCTTAAGTGCTTCAAACTGGAGAGCTGAATTCATCATAAAATGTGTGGTGAAGCAAGCCAATGAAAATGAATCAAAATTACATTCAGACGCGTCAAGATACTTTTGGGGGCCTCTGAATACTTATATTAATTGCATACTAAGTGAAGTGTTAAATTCTGCTGTGTTTCTCATCAGTTAGTCCAGCAACCATCCAAACAAGTTTGGATGGGAAGATCTGAGCTACTACTTCAAATACTTAACATGCAAACATAGAAGACAAAAAGTGCATTATCTGCTCTTCATACTCCAACAATAGTACTGCAACACAGCTGAACTCCCTGTAATGATCAGAGAATGTGTGTGTTGGGATGTGCTAGCAGCTTCTGACAGTTTAATTAGTTAAATTAATGTCAAGTCCATCATGCAGCACATCATTACAGCTTTTGGGAGGTCAGCTCGGCTAATGGAAGCCCTCATTAACGAGAACACAAAAGTAGCATTGTGATTTTGTCTATATGAGTGTGTGAGTCCATTCCGTGTGTGTGCACCTGCTCTGGGCTTTGATTAGCGAGCACAGGGCTGTTTTTTAACGCACAGATTGAGGTTTGTTGGCCAGACAACAGAAGATACATTGCTAGTCTGATTCTTTCTAATGGCCACTGTGCACCACTGTGTGTTATTTATGAGAAACCGCTGTGATTAAGTTCATGTACGATAAATTAGACCATATTGTGCTGCTTTACTGTCAAAGCTAACCGAGGTGTTATTTTACACCTACATATGTATTCCATGCCAATTAAAAAAGGATGAGCTGACGGTAAGTGTGTGTTAATTAGACGTTTCAGTGTTAAATCCACAGGGAATGTTTTGCTATTATAGGCCTATACACAGAATGACTAAAGCTCTATGGATTATTTAGTTACACAGGGATGCAAGCTGGTCTTTGTAATTAAGTGAGCTGTATAATCATCATATCATATTGCCTGAATGCACTTATTTGAACTTTTTAAGACGTTCAGTCATTAACATCACAATGGTGGTTGAAATTTCCCAAAATATTCTGAAATCTAACTAAAGATTTTAATACCTAGTCATTTTAAAGATAACTTGAAACGGCATTCACAAACCAGTTTACTTCTGTATTGCGACGTATTTTACAGAATGCATTGTGAAAGCTAAAAAATTAAAAATAAATAAAATAAGGTTACACCTTTAGTTTGGGGACCAGTTCTCACTTTTTCCTTAATAAACTCCTAATTTGCTGCATATTAATAGTTAGTAAAGTAGTTGTTAAGTTTATGCATGGGGTAGGATTAGGGATGAAGAATAAGGCATTAATATGTGCTTTATAAGTACTAATAATCAGCCAATATGCTAGTAATATGCATGCGAATTGGTCTCTAAAGTGTTACCAAAAATAAATAAATAATTAACGATGAAGGATAAGTCAAAACTAGATTATAAATATACATTTCATGATACAAGTCGTTTCAAAGCAGCTTTATAGAAAATGATGCTAATGTTTATAATATCTTCATGCCTTATAGTCTAATTTAGCAGATCAGAGCTGGACGATAATATAGTTTACATGTTGCAATGATAAAATCAATCAAGCACGCCCTACGTGAGCACAGTCTACCGTATGCATGCAGATACTCACACAGGGCAGTATATTTAAGACAACGCAAGTACTCTACCTCAATCGATTCTGTGAGTTATGTCTCTTGTGCACTTCACATGAGTAGTGCTATTTTGCGTGCCATGCAGAGTTGCCTATGAGCATTTTAAATCAGTCTCCGTTTCAGCTGGACTGTCTTTGTGTTGTGGGTGGTAGAAGAAGTCATTTGCAGTTCTGTTCTGATCGTGAGCCTGACATGCATGAGAGACAATACGATGCACGAATCCTGGATTATAGATTGATGCACTCTTGTTCACTATTGTACAGCATTTTCTGTAAAGGCTTTTAGGCTTTTATGCTATACTGTCCATTAGTACAATATGATTCCATTATATTCTGTGAATAAACAATGTGTTTCAGGTCTTTAGTCGTCATGGCTTCGTATCTGTTTGGTCAACAGCAACACATCAGATGATGACTCACTAGAGGCCCCGTGCGCTGCATTTATGGTGCTCAGAACTAAGCGCTAAACAAAATAAACTATGATCTTTTTAAAGGGGTCATGAAATGCATGTTCAGATCTTTATATATGTTTCTAGAGGTTAGTTTATAAAGGCTTTTTGCATCAAAAAATTCAAATATTTGTAAAAATGATCATTTTCCATTCTTTCCATCATCTCTCTCACAAACACAAGCAAGCACCAATGCTGTGAATGAAGTTTGTATGTATGTTTAAACCACACAAAAGAAAATGAACCAATGCAACCACAACTGTCTATAATCTGTATAAATATAATATTATTATTATAACATACGGTATATACCTAATACTGGTACATTATAAAACTTACAGCTATATGATAAACTATATGATATGTTAAGTACAACTAAGAAAAGAGTGTGTTGCAAAATGATACAAACAAAAACATTCTTGTTAAATCACTCAGGCAAAAAAAAAATATATATATATAATAATAATAATAAAAAAAAAAGATAAACTTCAGCCATGCATTTCTAATAGATTAATCTTTTCGAAGGGTATGCACAGTTTTTGGAGGCTCAGTCTGTCTACATCCAGGGACAGAACAACGTCAGACTTTCTTATTCCACATCTTGCTTTAGTGATTGATTGACAGACATGGGTTATTAAAAGCACACTGCCTTGATTTACATACGCAGGTTAAGGGGAGTGTAGAGGACAAACGTGACATCACGAATGGGGTGATTTCAAATTCTGGCATTTCAGAAGTGTGGACAACAAAAACATTGTATTTTAAACTGGAATCAGGGATAATATCTTTCATTGAATCTACAGTAAGTAGATCCACTTCAGCTAATTACTCTTCAGCAGTGATGTTACAGATCTACCACAAAAACCGAAGGTCAAAGATGAAAATAATAAATTCTGCATACTTGTTTCTCTGATGCATAAGGTCTATAGACAACATTAATCATTTTTAAATTTGTCAATATTGGATGAGAATTGTTCGATACTGTATATTTTATTGTGAACTTTTGTTTTCTGCCTGTACAAGGTATTGTGAATGTAACAATAGCAGAGCTGTGTGTTCATTACAAAAAAGGGAAGGAGACCACGAACAGAAAAAGAGAGCTATCATAACATTCAGAATTGGAAAGTCCCGGTTTTTTCGTTATAAGTGCCAAACGCTTTTTTGAGTCTAAAATGTGTTTGTTGATATTTTTATAAGTACACTTGCATAAAGATGCCCTCAGAGTTAACAGATATGAACTTGAGTCACAAACTACAATTTAGATTTCATTTCTACAGCAGTCACAGATTTCAGGAATGAGCCGTTGGGAACTGGGGAGGGGATTCTAAAAGTACATTTTTATACTTTAGTAAGCGGAATAGAACACTGAACTCTTATATTTTTATAAGATGAAAGAAAATGCAGGATATTACAACTTTATGACTGATTTTTTTTTTTTAAGAAAATATATAGCATACCTCGTTTTTGACTACATCATTGTCGACTCGGCGAAGGTTCCTCTTCACCTTCAGGTACTCTGATGGAGGAGGGGGAGGGGGAAATGTTGGAGGGGGCGGCAGGTGTGCAGGATGTTCCTTTGCATTCTGGGAACTGTCTGCTACATCAGGGTTCAGCATGTCCATATAGGCCTGCATGTCTGTAATGGCTGAATCTTCACCTCCTGCAATAAAACACATTTCTTTAATCATTTATTAAGACAAACATCACCCAGACAGACAGACAGACTTAGATTACAAGCAAGATGTATTCTATATTTATGAACGGTATTCACAAGTGCTGCTCCAATCATGAGGTCATATACACTATAATAATCAAAAGTCTGGGCACACCTCATTTGTTATTATTACCACTGATCCACAATTAAGAATAACAATCTTCAAAATTAGTCTTCAAAATTAGTCTTCAAAAAGTCTTCAAAATTATAAACATAAATGGAAGTATGGAAATTATGTAGTGATAAAAAATGTTAGAAAAAAGGTTTTACGATCATTGAAAGATTAAAATCATAACATATTTCAGTCAGGATATTTTTGTCTGGTAGTGAAAGTATAATCATGTACGGCTCTGTTGTATATGGATGTCCTAAATGTGTCCACTAGAGGACATTACTGGGACGTTCCTTTGCATTCTGGGAACTGTCTGCTACATCAGGGTTCAGCATGTCCATATAGGCCTGCATGTCTGTAATGGCCGAATCTTCACCTCCTGCAATAAAACACATTTCTTTAATCATTTATTAAGACAAACATCACCCAGACAGACAGACAGACTTAGATTACAAGCAAGATGTATTCTATATTTATGAACGGTATTCACAAGTGCTGCTAAGGTTTTACGATCATTGAAAGATTAAAATCATAACATATTTCAGTCAGGATATTTTTGTCTGGTAGTGAAAGTATAATCATGTACGGCTCTGTTGTATATGGATGTCCTAAATGTGTCCACTAGAGGACATTACTGGGACGCCTCACAGCAGGTTGCCTGGACAACGCTATGGGAACATTGTTCTGAATGAGTTCTGCTTCAGCGAGCTCAACTTTTCCCACCATTGTTAATATAATGCTTCAAACACACTGCATTGAGCAAACGTATGCGCTGAGAAGGTGGGCTATTGTCAATTTAGAGGGGGGAGATCAAAACACACAGCAATGCAGGAAGAGAACATTTTGTATCAAGTTAATTAGGAGATTTTGAATGAATTTCAATAGACAGTCTGAATTCATTTGATCAAAAATACAGTAAAAACAGTAATATCGTTACAATTTAAAATAACTGTTTCCTGTTTTCATATATTTTAAAATGTATTCCTGTGCGGACAAGGCTGAATTTTTCTCCAGTCTTCAGTGTCACATGATTCATTAATTATTCTAATATATGGATTTGCTGCTCAAGAAACATTTCTTATTATTATCAATGTTGGAAACAATTGTGCTGCTTCATATTTTTGTGTAAACCATGATACATTTTTTCAGGATTCTTGATGAATAGAAAGTTAAAAAAAACAGCATTCAGTCACACTTTAGTTTAAGGACCAATTCTCACTATTAACTATTAACTATGACTGTTAAGTCATTAAGGGATCATTAAGGGGTCTAAAATATGATAACACAGAATAAGGCATTAATATGTGTCAATAATATGCATGCTAATAAGCAACCAAATAATAGTGAGAATTGGTCCCTAAACTAAAGTGTTACCCAGCATGCGTTTGAAATATACTCTAAATCTCTTTTCTAAAATTATGAATGTATTTACTGTCAGTTTTCATCAACTCAATGCATCCTTGCTGAATAAAAGTATACATTTCTTTAAAAAAATGTTACTGACCCCAAACTTATATATCACTGATTCTTGAGACATGGGACAAAACATGTCCAGCAATTGGAACTGCTATTAGGTTTAAACATGAAAATATTTTCAATTGTAAATGTTATGGGGGATTAATAATAGAATGTATTTAACACAAGTATCCCCTTCAGTATATTTTTTATCATTATTATATCAAATCTATGACACGTATTGTCTTCTCACAATCTCACTACATCTAAAACAGTGTGTCCACAGAGAAGGTGTTAATCATTAATTTGCTATAAAATGGATTCGAAATGTTTTTTTTTTTTAATGATGAAAAAGAGCTTGTTTTATCAAAAGCAACACGTAATAATATCTAATATTAAAGCAAGGTTGTTTTTCAATGACACATGCGTGTTTCATAAGGTTTCAAAGTTGTGTCCCCACTTTTTGTCAACACCTTCAGACATTCATTAAAATGTAATAAAATCAGGGTACTGTATATCAGGGGCAGCTGTCACTCTAAACGTGCCACATTCCTCCTCTGCAGAGTACATCAGTGTCAGACAGGCTCTGGTAAGCTTTATGGGTTTAGAATATTTTAAATCCTGATGTTAATATATAACACAAACATACATTTCTATACATAATACAGTTCATTTGTATTCTGATGACAATGGCTACTGTTAACTGTTTGGTTACCAACATTCTTCAAAATATCTTCTTTTGTGTTCAGCACAACTTCAGCAGGTTTAGAACAACTTGAGTGTCAGTAAATGACGACAACATTTTCATTTTTGGGGAAACAATCCCTTTAAAGATGCCTGTAAGTGTTTTTGTTTGTTTGTTTGTTTGCTTGTTTGTTTGTTGTTGTTGTTGTTGTTGTTGTTGTTGTTTTGCAATAGTCCTTGTGTTGCAAACTCTTTCATTGTGATTAAGGCAGAGAATTCCTTTAATTACACAAAGGTTAATTACAGGCAGTAGTAACAAATGAGGAATATCTTCTTTTGTGTTCAGCACAACTTCAGCAGGTTTAGAACAACTTGAGTGTCAGTAAATGACGACAACATTTTCATTTTTGGGGAAACAATCCCTTTAAAGATGCCTGTAAGTGTTTTTGTTTGTTTGTTTGTTTGTTTTTTGTTGTTGATGTTGTTTTGCAATAGTCCTTGTGTTGCAAACTCTTTCATTGTGATTAAGGCAGAGAATTCCTTTAATTACAATTAGGTTAATTACAGGCAGTAGTAACAAATGAGACTGCAGCAGATGAGGGGGTGTGAAACCACATCACTACAGTGGAGACATGCAGTTCTCTACATATTATCAAGAATCTACTGAACCTAATTAATGGTGCACTTAGTTATTTTTCCTTATTAAAGTTTTACACGTTAAGAACTAAACAGTACTTTAAATAATTTGCTAACCCTGTAAAGCCTGAAATATGAAATCATAGATCTTTATGACACTATAGCAGACTACTTATGCATAAATGTCAGTCATCATTTATCAACTCCTCGTATGATGATACTTAGTTTTATGATCAAAGCCCTGTATTTATTGTGGGGACAAAACATATAATGCAAGGCAAAACAATGATGATTGAGAGATACAGTGCTAAGGTAATGTAATGTTACTACACTTCTAGTGAAGTTAACCTGTGGCAAATTCATTTGAATGAGTATAATTTGGAAAGGCACACTCGTCTTCATTGGACTAACAGCTGAAAATGCATATCAGAGCAAAAACCAAGCCCTAAGATAAAAAAACTGCCTGTAGAGCTCAGAAACAGGATTGCATCAAGCCACACATCTGGGGAAGAGTTCAGAAAAAAATTTGGCTGCATTGAAAGTTCACAGAAGCATGTAGTCTCTGTTACCCTTAATGGAAGAAGTTTGGAACAAGCAGAACTCTTCCTAGAGCTGGACTCCTGGCCAAACTGATCAATTGATGGAGAAGGGCTTTGGATAGAGTGGTGACCAAGAAGCTGATGCTCACTCTAGTTGAGCTTCATGATCACATGTGGAGATAGGAGAAACCTACAGAAGGACAAACATCACTGCAACACTCCACCAATCTGTGCTTTATGGCGGTGTGGCAAGACTCAATCCTTTCCTCAGTGGAGACACATGAAAACACACTTGGAATTCGCAACAAAGCACCTAAAGGACCCCCAGATTGTGAGAAACAAGATTCTCTGATCTGATGAACCTCAATTTCAAGCATCATGTTTGAAGGAAACAAGGCACTGCTCATCACCTGCAGGGTACCATCCCAAAAGTAAAGTGTGCTGGTAGCAGCCTCATGCTGACCAAAATATAGAGATAGCCTTAATGAAAACCTAGTCCAGAGCATTCAGAACCTCAGACTGGGCAGAAGGTTCACCTTCCAACAGGACAATGACCCTAAGCCCACAGCAAGAGTGGCTTATAGACAACTCTGTAAATGTCCTTGAGTGGCCCAGCCAGAGCCTTGGCTTGAACCCAATCAAATATTGCTGGAGAAACCTGAAAATGTGTGTCTGCCCCCATCCAACCTGACAGAGCTTGAGAGGTGAAGAGGTGAGGAGAAGAAAGGCAGACAATTGTCAAATGCTGATGTGAAAAGCGTGTCACATCATACCCAGAAAAGACTTGAGTCTGTAAAGGTGTGTCAGCAAACACATGGGACACAAGGTAAGTCAATACAACAGCAGGTTTATGGAAGATTGACTCCCAGGAGATAACTTATCTCCTTCCTTCTCCGTAGCTGAGTCGGACCTCTCACTCTCTGGAATGGGTTTAGGGACAGCATTTCTTGGAACGGATTCCTGAACTGGAGCAGGCATGGTACCAGATGTAGGAACTGGAGAGCGCTCCTGGCTTAACTCTGTGTCGAACGCCGGATCCAGGCTGCGCCCAGGTAGAGGAGCGAGGAACACTAGAGTGCGCGGAGGAGCAGACACTGGGAGGCGCTCTGGAGGAGCGGACACTTGAGGGTGCTCTGGAGGAGCGGGCACTGGAGGGCGCCTTTGTAGGAGAAGACACTGGAGGGCGCTCTGGAGGAGCAGGCATTGGAGGGTGCTCTGGAGGAGCG